GTCCCCACCTGCGCTATTCAGCAGCACCAGTCCCCGCACCAGGGGGGGGTAGTCCGCCGCCAGACACGTGGAGATGAAGCCGCCGATGGAGTTGCCCGCAACCACCACCGGGGCACCCACAACCTGCAACACAAAGTCCCTGCAAGTGGGGGGGGCCGTGGGGGGGGGCCGCAGAAGGGGCGTGGGGGAAAATGAGAGGTGTGGGGGAGGGGGGAAAGGGGGAGCGGGGGGAAGGGGGGGAAGACGAGCCACGAGCGAGTGAAGCTGATGCCAAGGAAAGACTGATGCGCCAGAAGTAAGTCGGGAAGGAGGGGGGAAGGGAGGGGTTTGTGTGAAGCCGGGTGGTGAGGCTTGGGAGCCAGCGAGAGAGAGGCAGGCTGGACACGGATCAAGATGTTTACATTCCTCAAATACACACACATACACACGTCCCTATATACACATACATACATACATACACACATACACACATAGCTAACCTGAGAAAGTCCCGCCAAAGGTCCTGACTGTACGGCACCGCCGCTTTCTGGCTGCGGCCGAATCCAGGGAAGGTGGGGGCCAACACGCGGAAACCCGCCGCCGCCAGCGCCGCCATGTTGTCGCGCCACTGGTCGCCAAATGCCCCAAAACCATGGACGAGCAGTACGGCGGGAGCGCCTGGCAGAGGCTGTTCAGGCTCAGCCACGCAGTAATCTTTGGCGGAATGTGTGGGTTTGGGAGGGGAGGAGGGGAGCGTGCGGGTTATTCCGTACATGAGGCGCCAGAGGGGAGTAAAATAAGACGGGGGGGAGGAGGGGAGAAAAGGATTGTGTGTTTAAGCGTGTCTATGTGTGTGCGCATGCGGAACAGCTCGCTGGAGGAGGAAGGAGCCTAGACACACAAAACACACATACTTCCCCCCTCTCACCCCCCCCAAACCGCCTACCGGTCAGTCCGCCCCTCCACCGCCAAAAGTGTACTTCCACTCCGGGGCCCACCACCCTGTCGTCGTCCAGTACGGCAAGGGCCCGATGGAAGTCCGCCGCCTCCGCCGCCACCGCCGCGGCCACCGCCGCCGGAGTGCGCAGCCGCTGAGGATCCACACTGCCGTACGGCCGGCCGTCGGCGATGTAGGCCTGAGTGGCGGCAGTGACAACGGGAGGAGCGCGGAGAGGGAATCGTATGATGATGATGATGATGATGATGACGGCGACGATATCCCCCCTGCCCACCCACCCCAAACCCCAACTCCACAGGAACCATTTTCCTCAATCTGTTTGCAACCCCCCCACCCACACGCCGTACCCTCCCCTCCAGACCCCCCTCCCCCCCGGTCCTCACCTCCTTCAACACCCGCCGTGCAGACAAGGTGCCCAGTGCCTTGGCGCTGCTGAACAGCCCGGTGAAGGGAGCTCCGTCCACCCCGGGCCGTCGGAGAGCCGCGACCTCCTCGTCCAGGGAGACGGAGGAGGCGGTGGCGGTGGCGGAGGGGGGCGGGGCTGGTGCGGTTCTGTACGGCAGCAGCGGCAGCGGCAGCAGCAGCAGCGGCGTGCACAGAGGCATATCGTCACCGTCCCACCACCCACCACCGCACTCTTAACCCCTGTCCACCCCCCCACCTCACCCCTCGCCCGTTCCCACAACCCGGATTGTATTATGGACCCCAGCAGCTTTTCTCTTCTTGACTTGAGAGAGCATGTGTGCGTGTGTATGTGCGTGCGTGCGTGTGCATGTGTGTGTTTTACCCTCCCTCCCACGCGCACCTGAACCCCCTAGCACTGCAAACAACCAACACAAAGAGGGGCAAACCCGCCTACCCGAGGTACATCTTCAGCAGCTGCAGGGGGCTGTCCGGACCGGCACACACGCGTACGGCTCGATCAGCGTCAGGACCGCTCGCGCACTCCGCCGCCACCGCCGCCGCCACCGCCGCCAGCCCGCTGTCCTTGCCGTCGTCGTACACCGCCAGCGCCGCCTCCGTCAGCAGCTTACGCATCTCCGCGGCGCCCGGGATGCGCCCTACCCAGACACCGGGGCATTGTGTGTTTGGGGGTGTGTGTTTTGGGGTTTTAGGGGGGTTTGCAGTACCGTACGGCAGGTTGCGCGGTGGTTGTGGTGGTGGTGTGAAAATAGTCGGCCTTAATTTTTCCTATATCGTACTCTATTTATTGAGACCACTTTAAGGAAGTTAGGATGTCAAGACAATACTTGAAGGCCATCCAGTTAAATTCAAAGCTGCTCCATCCCACCCGCCTAGCGAGCGAGCTAGGTAGCTAGAGACCCAGTCCAATGTCCAGACTGATGTCCATATGGCAACAGTCAGCACTTGCAACAGCAGGTCAGCCAACAACGTCACACTGCAATTCAGCCAACGTCGTCCGGTCGTCCGATAACAAGTTCGAACGAGCTGAACAACTCCCTCCTAGGACTGCAGGAATTCAAAAGAGAGAAGAATCAAAATGGAGAAACAACTCTCCCCCGGCAGCCAAACGGCTGCCAACGAGTCAGCAACCCTCCCCCGTTCCCCCCCATACACCTATGCATGCACACAAACGTCCCATAAACAACCCCCCACACACATACATATATACATACATACATACCCAGGCATTCACCTGGTTCCACGGAGGCGGGGAAGGGCGGCAACGCGGAGGGCGCCGGCAGCGGCTCCGCCGGGGGCCCGCGTTGCGCTCGCCAAGTACGATATCGAATGTCGAAGTGGTCCGCCCGCCAGAGCGCCGCCCGCCAGCCGTACGAGGCGACCCCCAGCGCGTCACGCGCACGATCAAGAGCGGCACCCGCGGGCAGGCGCCACCTGATGCAAAAACAAAGTTCTACACTCCCTTCATACAAATGGTCGATTTCTCAGCTCAACATTCAATATTTTTCAGCTTTAAAATTCGACAAGCGCATGTCAAGCAAAATAGGCTTTTGAGACAGTGACAATAATACTATGTAATATAATATACTAATGAGAAAATAGCATTTCTTTAAATATTTCATCTATCGGCCTTCAAACACGTTCAAACGTTCACGCGATTAGCAGTCCGTCTAAATCCCTTCATCAAAGCAAGCTCCGGGGCCACCATACGAACCCCGAGGGGGAGGGGGGAAACCAGAGGATAAAGGGGAAAGGGGTGCTTTTCCTCGTACCTGAGCTCCACCTCCGCCTCCGAAACCACGGCCCTAGATCCCACCGTCCGCGCTACCGCCGTCAGCTGCTGCTCCCAGGAGCCCACTCGTATCGCCAAGTCGCTGCCGCGGACACGCAGCTCGGCACGGAGACGCTCCAGGGCAGCTGACAGAGCTGTCGTAACACGTGTACGGCGGCAACATGCGCAGGAGGGGAGGGGGGTGTCAAGTAGAGTTGCACGCCCATCCTCCCGCCAATGCCGCCTTTTCCAGAAATGGTGGCGGCGGAGGTGGTGAAGGCGGCGGCGGCTTCCATCCCCGCGCACTCGGGGTTGCCGCGCGCCGTGCGCCCCGGTATGCCCCGGGTTTGCGGGATTGAATGAGCAAAGCCGCAACTGAACCATTCAGCAGACAAGTTGGCACTAGCTCTAGCAGCAGCAGCAGCAGCAGCTGCTGCTCCTGCTGCTGCTACAGCTACAGCTAGTGGGGGAGCGCACTCACTACCGCAAGGAGGGTGAGGACCCCTGCCCCTATCCCTAACCCCCTTTTAAATCCCTAACCCCCTGAACCCCCATACCCACCCTCGGGTCCCCCAGGCGTAAAGGCCAAGTACGACAGCCGTACAGGATCCAACAGAAACACAGGTGCCAGCGGCCGTGGAGACGCGGAGGTGCCGCTCGGTCCCGCGGCTCCAACTGCCACCGCCGCCGCTGTAAGGCCCGGATGGTCATCCACCCTCAGGTCGTTGCGATACCACAGTACGACAGGCTCCGTTGGTCCCAGGTGCTGTGGCAGCTCGGAGACGTCGTACCAAGTGCTGCTGACGGGGCCGCGTGTGCTGCTGCTGCTGCTGCTGCTGCTGGTGTTCGAGGTGACGTCAGCGGAGGAGGAAGAGGAGGAGGGGGGTGGGGAAGTGGGCACCCAGGCGCGGGCGAGGGTTAAGGCGCGGGGAGGGTGCGAGGGAGCCGGGCGTATTGGGGTTGGACGGCTGGAGCGCACGTGTCGCGGTAGTTGTCCGCTAGCGGCGCAGCTGTGTGTAGCAGTTGCTGGGGGACGAGAAGCTGTAGCAGCAGCAATAGCAGCAGCAGCCTGCGGGATCGGTATTGCGGGGAAGGGATTATTACTGAGAGGGGGGCAAACACATCAGGAAAGGAAAACAACTTTTGATGTCCGAAGATGCTGTGAGGGTGGGAGAGGATGGGGTTGGGCGATGGCGTCGAAGCCCGGTAATCAGTGAGCTGTGTGTGTGGGGGGGGGGGTTCCTAGGCCTGGGTTAGGTGACCCGCACAAAGGAGAGCCCAGCCCTCCCGTGCGGGGGAGAGTCTGGGCCTGCCGTAGAGGGGGATGGAATTACAGCGGGCTGGTTTGTGTGTTGGCTGAACGGGACGAGGCGGGGTTTCGGGAGTTTGAGTTTTTGGGGGAAACACATGCGTGAAAGGTTTGGAGGTTGGAGGGCTAGGCGGGCAGTGGGTGAGTGAAAAGGGCAAAACTGGGAAGTTCTGGGTAACGGTAATGAAGGGCTGCGCGCGTTGTATGCGTGGACGCGTTGTATATGGGTGCGCGTGGGGACATGGGGAGGGGAGATACATCGTGATGGGGCTCGCAACAGTGAGCTCCGCCAGCACTGGATAGACGACGGATCAGTACTGCCCCGGACATGGACAACGAATGTGTATTTCACCCCAGCGTGGGTCAACGCCTGGCTGATCCAAACTCTGACCTGCTTCCAAGATGCGCGCCCGGTCCATCCGCGCTTCGCGTGGACTCTCGGACCATGCGAGGAACAAGGCCAGCTACCATGTAAACGCTGAGTTGGTCTTAAAGTTTGCATAACGCGTTATTTCAAGAAAGTCAGCCAATGGAGAGATTTAAACAGAGCGCAGACGGGCAGCCCGAAAGCGTACCGCTTTGCTTAACCCCTTCAGGCCTGGGAAATAATGTATTTTAAGGCAAATAACCGCAAGTTTTGGAAAATCTTTTGTGATTAAGGCGTCCATTTCGTATGTGAAACCGGACGTGCATTGCCGTCCTCTGTGACGCAAGACATCTGCCGTTTCCTTGGAGCTCAAGTTTTCAAGCATATGCATGATTTGTGAGTTGTAAAAAATCTTAGAGCCTGCTGAAGCATAGGTCGACCCGTGGGCCTAGGGAAGGTTGCCATTTCTGGTCATGTAACGCACAGAGTAAGCACAATGTGCAAATTACGTACAAATTATTATGCAAAAGCACTTAAGCATAGGACTGGTAAAAAAAGGTCGAGTTCGTAACGGCGTTCACTCCAGTGCAAAGGTGTGGTTGGCTACTGTATTGCGTGAAAGAACCCTGGCCCATCCTTGCAAGGCGTGTGCATTGCCTGCACCAGTACTCGCTGAACAAAGTTGGCTGGGGCCCTTAGTGCTGTGCGTGATACGCGCCCGAAATCAAATCCGTCGTTGTCGTTCACAACGGTCTCTTTGAAATCACCATGCGTGCCCAACTTTGACTTTCATGCATTACATCCTAGTTGTAAGTACAAATTTGTCGGAAGGCAGGTTAAGGATTACAGATATCTTCTATTTCCTGTCCCCTGTTTAACACAAACCTAGGAGGATGGCCGTTGCGCCAGACAGTGCCGATGTGCTTCCTGTTTTCGACTTGACCGCGGCCGTGGACAAGAACCCAGATGAGGCTGACCCTGAGCTATGCGCGTCCATCGCAAGGTGCCTACATGAGACTGGATGTCTTATTGTAAGTCAATATACTTAGGAACACTCATACTCTGTTGCCACCAAAGGCAAGGAGCGCTCGTGTCTTGGACGCTGCTCATACGCTGCTTGAAGTGTGGAAGCGCTCCTCCATGGCGGACGACGACAATTAGCCGATGTGCGACGCTTGCAACAACGCATTGCCTCACGTCCTCATGTCGCCATCCTCTTGCATGACGACCATGACTGCCGATTGGCCCATCGCCAAACTTCTTCTTTCTGTGACAAACGCTTCCCCAAGGGCCTCTGACCTTCTCTTTCGGTTTGTCCCCTGCCTCTGCTAAATCGGTAAAGTATTTCCCGCTTAACCAACAATTTGCCAGCTAACTCCTGCTATTCTCAGCCTGCCATACCGCGTTTTGATGTGGGTCAGCAATACTTCTACCTGTCCACCTCCACCCAACCCCCGCAGCCCATCGTAACCATTGCCCTCTTCCACCCTTTGATACTATCCTCCGCCGCCGCTTCATCACCGTACCTCTCTTCTCATTTCTCTTCAGTCGGCAGTTGGCCTAACGTTTTCTTGCATCCTATAATTCCCCGTCCTCGCCCGCCCCCTCCCCGTCCTCTTTTCAGGTTCGCGACCCGCGTGTTCCAGCCGCCCACAACGACCGCTTCCTGGACCTCCTGGAGCGCTACTTCGGGCAGCCCGCGGACCGGAAGATGGCGGACTGCCGACCCTCCCTGGACTACCAGGTCGGGGTCACGCCCTGCGGTACGGAAGTACCCCGTTGCCTCGTGGTGAGTTGGATGAGTGGTCATGGATGTCTGTATGTATATGCTATGTGTTATGCATGAACGATCTGTGCCGCGGTTTGGTGTGCTTGTGCGTATGTATGTGTATGTATGTGTGTGTGCGTGTGGAATGAGGCAGTAGATGTCGTACAGGGGCCGCTGCCGGGTGAAGCACGTCGCCCGTGGCGAAGGCACGTACCCACACGTGCGGTCTCTTTTGACTTCCCCCTGCCCTCCCCTTCCTTGCCCCCCCCCTCCTCTCCGCTCTCCAGCTCATGGCCGGCTGATGCCCCCCTGGCTCTTGACTCGGCACCACCACGGGATTTCCTCACTGCACAACACTCTGCACTCGCTCTCCCCCTACACCCCTACATACATACGTACGTACGTACGTATACGCAGGACACACAGCTTCAAGACCAGCTGCGCAAGCTGAAGGGCGCCAATCGAGCCACACTGCCGACCGGGCCAGGTGGGGAAGTATGTATGTATGTACGTATCAACGCATGTACGTGTGGGGACAGAGGGGATTGGAGAGGGTTTAACCCCGATACACTACCAGCAGCCAAGCACCAGCAGCCTAAGAGCTCCCGAGGGAGGGGCTAGCTGCCTGCTGCGGGTGCTGTGCTGTGCTAGGGTTACACAGGCACGCAGAACACCACCTGCTGTGTGGGTTTGGCAATATGAGCTAGGTAAGGAGGGAAGGAGGCAGGGGGCGGATGAAGCGTGACACGATTGACAACGGGAACAATGTATAGTTTTTTACCCTTGAGGCAAAGTGCGCAATGACGATCGACAAAGCTCCGGGCTTTTGGCATACACAATGTCGTACACTGTACCTCGGTCCAGTCTGTTGCGACCGATTCACCCTCCATCCACCTCTCCCTATCTCTCGCGCCCCATCACCCGGGGCCCCCCTACCCCCTGCGCCAAAAATATATCTTCGCCAGACCTCAAGTGGCGGTACATGTGGCGAGTTGGTCAACGGCCGGAGGTGACCCAGTTCCCGGAACTGAATGCGGAGCCTGTCGTACCGCAGGTGGGGTGGGGGAGGCCTGGGTGTTTTGTGTTTGTGTGGTATGTGTGTGGGTTGGGTTTATGAGAATTTATTTCCCCCCCCCCCAGCTACCCGGCAAGCAATGTGTCGCCGTCATACGCGATCGAGGGAGGGGTCCCGTTTCTGAGTTCCTGTCGGTGACTTCTTTGTTGCCTTTGATATAATACATTTGCAGTTGTGGTGTGGTGCGGTGTGTCCCAAGTTATTATGTGTCGTAAAGCTATTAGAGCGGATTTGCTGCCGCTGTTGTTGCCTCTGTTGCTGACTTGCTTCATGTTACTGGTTCTTCTGGATCACTGCTACTGCCGTACCCGACACTGCTACTGGACATGCTACCTACCGCTACTGCCACTACATGGCTGCTACCGCTGCTCCAGGGATTCCCCGAGTGGTCCGTCGTGATGGACGGCTGGGGGGAGGCGCTGGTGGGGGCGGCTACTCTGGTGGCGGGGCTGCTGGCCCGGGGGCTGGGACTGGGGGAGAGCGAATTGCAGGTGGGGGGGAAAGGGAGGGAGCGGGAGAGGGGGTACTGCCTGTTGTCCGATGTGTGCGTGTGTGTGTGCGTATGGACTTGCGACGGTTGTGGTTGTTGGTGGACGGTTGCCTTCTTGGGGGCGGAATGTAGAACGATCCATTCATCAACTGCTGGTCATACAACCCCGAACCCCGTCCACGTCAACACGCCTTCCCTCTCTGCTTCATTATGCACTCGTACGTACATACACACACATCTCATTACCCCGTCGCCCCGCCACAGGACCTGATGTCCGTGGGGCCCCACCTGCTCGCCCCGACCGGTTCCGATCTGTACTGCAATGGCCGCCTGGGGGCTGTGCTGGCGGGGTGAGGGGGGGCGAGGGTGCGCGCTTTCGGGGGGGCGGATGTGGCCTTAACGGCACGGCGCGTCCTTGGATGTGGTTGTGGCCATACTTCTGCTGCTGCTGCTGTTTTGTAGTAGGTAGGAAGGGGGAAAGTAGCAATGAAGAAAGGTGGAAAGCACGGGGGGCCGCATCGCACAGGGCCTGTTGTTGTTCTAACAAGAGGCGGAAGGGTAGAGAGCTACTCCCCCGGGAGAAAGAGAGGAATGTTAAAACACAAATTGAATCCAAATCCAAACCGGAACACCGCGAGGCTTCACCCCTACAGACTCTCTCCCCCCCATACACACACGCACACTGAGCACACACTCCACTCCCTACACCCCCTCCCAACCCCCAACCCCCGCACACACTCACACTCTTTGCGCACACGCCACCCAGTCCTCCCCTCGTGCATTCGTCATCCTCTTCCCCTTCATCTTTCCCCCCGCCCAACTGCCGCCCCTTCCCTCCCTTCCCGCTCTTTCTTCATCCGTACCACCCGCAGCTACCACTACGACCTCAATCTGATCACGGTTCACGGCCGCAGTCGCTTCCCTGGACTGCACGTCTGGTTGCGGGACGGGCGGCGGGTGGCGGTTCGTATTCCCGCGGGCTGTCTGCTGATGCAAGCCGGGAAGCAGCTAGAGTGGTTGACGGGGGGATATATTGCGGCGGGGATGCATGAGGTGGGTTGGGAATGGGGTTGGGTTGGGTTGGGGGGCTCCCGGGGGCCGGGGCAGGCGGGCGGGCAGGCAGGGGTCTTGATTGGGCTAGGAAAGGGTGAGAAGATCTAGATTAGGTGCCGTACAATTGTGTTTGCAGTCTCGTTTTATATATTGGTTTCCGGCTTTTCACATGTATACATATATACATACATTCTTGCGTATATTTCTCAGTTGCGAAATCGCGCATCGCACATCAATTTCCGGTCGCGTCTTCAGCATATCCTCCTCGTCGTCGTCGTAATAGTCGTAGTCGTTTGTTATCTCTATCGCACTGTGCTCGGGGCTCCACACACCCCCTCTCCGGCGGTTCAGGTGGTGGTGACGGAGGCGACGCTGGCGGCGGTGGAGGCCGCTCGAGCCGCGGGTCGCAGCACCTGGCGCATCTCCTCCACCGTCTTCATCCATTGCGCCAGTGACGCAGTTTTGAGGCCGCTGGGGCGGTTCGGGAAACTGCAACAGCAGCAGCGGAACCAGACAGATAATCATGATGCGGCAACATCAGCAGCCGCGGCGGCGGGGGAGGAGGGGATGAAGGCGGGGGCGGAGGACGGTGCCTATCCAGCGATCAAGGCCGGGGAACAGGTGAGCAGCGGGTGCCGGGCAGGGCGGCGGTGGGGACGAGTACCGATGAGCTCTGCTTTCTAGTTGGTTTCGGAGCTGTCTCCTGACTCGCACAAAGAGTCAAGAGCAAGAGCACCGTCCACGCCAGCCGTAGCTGGCAACTACCAACTGCCAGTTGCTCCTGCAACTGCCACAGTGTACGCCCGAATGTTCTCACCACTGACCGACGTGTATTTACACGGCCCCCCGGATTTCCCCCCGGGTCTGTTGCAAGTGTGCCCAGCTTCCTAATCTCCATTCCTAACCTCCCCGCGCTGACCCTCGGTACGGCAGGTTCAAAGGGAGCTTGAGGCAATTTGCTTGCGTAAGACCGCCACAGCGGCGGCGGTATCTGACGCAGCGGTGGTGCCGTCGCTGGCTCCCGCGCCTTCAACCGTTGCCGGGAAGGGAAATGTGGTCGTCGGGTCGGTGGCTTCGCCGGCGGCGCTGGGTGGAAGCGCCAACAACGGCCCCGTGGGTGGCGGCGGGAGTGCCGCCGCTGGCGCCGCCGGCAGCGGCAGCAGCTGCGCCACTGGGGTAGCGGTGGCGGCGGCGGCGAGTAGGTAACTCGGCCGCAACGATGGTGGTCTTGGAGGCACCTGGCGAAGTTGGGCGGAGCTTCAACTTTTTGTCAGTTAATATTAAATTCTTTTGGGATTGCGGTAATTGCGGTGGCATAGCAGTCGGTGGGGGGCCTTGGGGAGGACCTGGGTGGTTGGGTTGGTTGGTTTCATCGGCGCTGGTTGCATGTGTATTTTTGAAAACAGGGACCTTGAATAAAATTTACAGTGTCCCTTTTATCCAGAAGCAAATTGGCAAATAGCTTTGAGGACAGGTGGTTCGGGGTGCTTCGGGATCCTTGTTGCCGAGGTTTCTGGAAGTTCCTCTCGGTGTTGGTGTGTGTGTGTGTTGGTTTGTGAGACGGGGTCTGTGTCTGCCTTGCGAGCTGGGGATGCGGTGAGCAGTGAAGCGAAAGGCGAGAAGCGAGCAGGGGGGAGAGAGGGGCGAAGCAGCAGCGAAGCCGCATAGCACACACAAAAACAAGCAGCAGGTGGCGAGAAGGAAAGCATAAGGATGGGGAGAGGGGTACGTTCTGTTCAGGTTATCTTGAGAACTGAGATGTTATATATATGTATATATCTCCGTTCACGACTCCATCCACATCTGAGCTGCATGCCGTACCCTTCTGCGTCGATCGTACTTGGCACGATGATAATGATGATGAAAGTTATGTCTGCGTTATCTCTTACCTTATGTCTACTTGTTATGCGTACTGGTGTTGAAGAGACGTGCGATATGGCTTGTCTGTGTGTGTGTTAAATGGTTACGTGTGTGGGTTACGAGTCGAGGGCTCAAAAATGTTTTTTAAAACTGGACAGCTTTGCTTTGCTGTTTCCTCCTCTTTCTCATTCTTTGCTGCTTTTACTCGTGTGTGTGTCTTGAGGCTAGTCCAAAACTATTAATACGATTTGAGAGGGAGTAATTGCATGCACTGGCAACGCAAGTATTTAGTTATCCGAACATGTGTGGGTCAGGAGTGGTTGACACCGACCGCAGAACCGGAGTAGATTAAAAAATTGAAAGGAATATACACAGATATACGGAGATGGAGCATTTTACACCCTACCTGTGAGAACTGTCATTTGCCAAACAGTCCTGCAAATGGTCTGCCCCCTTTCAAATCGCCGCATCCTCTTTCGTCTAGTGCGCTGCATCCCCTCGCTCACCTCGCTCCCTCTGCCCCCTGCCGTCCCGATGGTGAACTGTACTGCACTGAACTACTTTCTACGCCTGCATCGTCCTGTTCTGTCTTTCCTCTGCTTGCACGCGGCCAGTTCAAGAATAGCACAGGGTCCACGTCACACACACACACAGGTACACCCCTGCAATTTTCCCGCGCTTCGGATCCGTTCGCTCGTAATAGTAGAAGTCGCTCAAAAGTCTGACAATCGACAACAAGAATAACAAGAACATAAATATCCGATACAAAACCGACCAGTGTCCTCATCCTCAGCCAGATGATCATGACCATCACCGCTTGCAGATGATCTCGAACACGTACATGAATATCAGCCAACAGCCAGCGGACTCTAGAGCACTCTACGGCAGCTTTCCCAGCAACCGCAGGCAACCACGACAAAGCACTCTTGGACACATCATCATATGCCTGAGATGCAATGCGCTTCTAACGAATATGCAAATATTATTGCAACCTACATGCGGCCAATTTACAGCCGACCTGCGCTAACCCGCTCCTTTTCCGACTTACGGCCCCCTTGCAAAGGGCGAGCAAAACCACGGATGGTCAGCAGCAGCGGCAGCAAGACGCAACGTGCCGTACTGCACGATGCAACGTTAATGCTACAGCGCCGGCAGGCCCGTACGCGGATCGAGCTGCAGGGCCGACGCCAGGTTCTTGGCGCGCGTGGAGCTGGCGGAGGCGCCCAGAATGTAAATCCAGGAGCCAGCGTCCAGCTTGGCGACGCGGTCGGAGGCGCCGCCACGGCTGCCGCCGTTGGGCCGCCCGATGCCGCCAACAGATCTAGAACGGATCTTGCCGCCGGAGCCGCCGCCGCCGCCGCTGCGCGGCGGCGATCGGCCGCGATACGAGTGGAGCCCGTACGCTCCGCCGCCGCCGCCACCGTCATCACCATCCGCCATGAGATCAGCAATGAGGGCGCGGCGCCCGCCGACGGAGGGTTGGCGGAACCTTGCCGCGTCGGCAGAGGAGGGCGGCTGGGCCGGTTGCGACGGTGGCGGCGGCGGCGCGGGCGGTGGTGGCGTCAGCGGCGCGGCCGCCGCTGCCAGGATTGACCTGCGACCCCAGCCCCCCCCGGCTGCAGCCGCCGGTGGCGCCGCCGCCGCCATCGCCGTCGACAGCGATGGCGACAGTGGCGCAGGGACGGTGGAGGCCACTATCAAGCTACTACGACCAAAACCACCTCCGCCAGCGGCAGCGACGGCGGCGTTAGGATGCCCGCCGTCCCCATCTGTGAACTTGTTAAGCAGGGCGTTGCGACCCCAACCGGTACCGGAAATAACCACCGCACCGCCGCCGCCAGCCGCCGCCGGCGCGCTGGACGGCTGCTGTAGCGCCGATCGACCGCCGGCAACACCAGCCAGCGCCGGCGCCGGCGGCGCTGCCTGGCGAGCTCCCACCGCAGGCTCCTTCGCAGCAGCTTCGCCTGTCTTTCCCGCCTTCGCCGCCGCCAGGGCCTCCCGGGCCTCCCGCATGATTTCCTCGTACTCTTCTGGATCCAGCTGCGACAGCCCGCCGTCGCTGGCGGAGGCATTGCCGCTGTCACTGCCGCCGCCGCGACGGGCCACCGCTGCCGAAGTGCCCCTCTCAGCACCAGCGCGACGGCCGCGGTGTCTGCCGTCCTCCTCCTCCTCGGATTCGACATCCTCCTCTACCATCTCCTCCTCATCATCATCCCCGTCGTCCTCCTCCTCTTCTTCTTCATCACTGGCCTTGTCTGGGCCCGCGTCTTTCCGTTTCCCCCCGACCACCTTCACCTCCTCCTCCTCCTCCTCCATCACCTCGGACGACCCCTCCTTATCCTCGGGCTCAGCATCGTCAAAGTCATCCTCGTAATCCGCCGCCACGAGCTCCCCCCGCCCCGGACTACGTATGGGACTACGCCGCCGCGGCGGACTGCCGTCACCTCTACTCCGGGAGGCGGCGGCAGCCGTTGTCGCTGCCGTACCGCGCGTCTGGCTGGGACTAACCGATGAGGACTTCGCACCGGCGGCAGCAGCGGTGATGGCGGCGGCGCCGTCTTCGCGGGTGGAGAGCCCTAGGGGGTGTGGGTGTGAGTGCGCCTCAGGTAGCTGCACCGAACGTGCCGGGCTGATGGATTGTTGTTGCTTGTGTTGATGTTGATGTTGTTGTTGATGTTGATGTTGGTGCTGTTGGAGGTAGTAGCGGAGCTGTGACGACGCGTCGTTGGCCACCGATCCCGGGGAGGGTCGGTCGCTGCCTGTAGGGCTGTCCGTCATTTCGATACTGTGCACCGGCGCCAAGTTGCCGCCGCCGCCCAGCGACGCCGACCCGACAACTCCCGGCGCTAAAGTCAGCCCCGGCGGCGGCGGCCGCCGCTGCGCCGCCGCCGGTGGCACCGCCGCGCCGCCGCCACTGCTGCCGTAAATTCCGATGGCGGCGCGCGTTCGGACCGTTAGGGCTGGCGGCACGGTCGAAGTTGATGTACTCGACGCCAGTGGCGGCGGCGGCGGCTGTGCGCCAGGACCCGGCGGCGGCGGCAGGCCGCCCCAGTTGCCGCGCTGTGGCGGCGGCTGTCGTGCCCTGAACCGGGCCCGCTCCTGCGATGTGAGGCTCAAAATCTGAGACTTAATGGACATGATGGCCTCGTCGAAACTCAGACGCCGCATTTCCGCGCGCCGCCGCGGCGGTGACGGCCCGCCGCCTCCGCCGCCTCCGCTGCTGCCGGGTGCTCCGTGGCTGCTGAGCAGATTGCTACGGGAGCGGCTCAGCGTCGCCGGGCCGCCGCCGCCGATGCGTGTGGGTGTTAGTACGGCGGAGGACGGCGACGACGTCGCACGGCCGCGGGAGCCTGGCCCACCACTGGAAAGATGGACGGGCACGGAATTCAGAGGGGTGGAGGGTGTGGAGAGGCGGAAGAAGTCCGCGGTGCTGCCGCCGCCAGGGCCGCCAGCGCCGCGGGCCCCGCTACCACCTCCCCCTCCAGCGGCGCTGCCGCCACTGCCGGCGCTGCTGCGCAGGCTGCTGCCAGGGCGGTGTGGCGGCGGCGGCGTGCCCGCAGTGTCAAAAGCAGTCGGCGGTGTGCCGAGCGACAGCACCGTCGTGGCGTCGAGTACGACTCCGCCGCCGCTGCCGTCAACGCCGCCGCTGCCGTCAACGCCGATCCCGCCGGCGCTGGCGGAGCTTGCGTGATGAAGACGCTGCTGCAGCTCTGCCCGCAGCGCCCGTTCCATTTCTAGAGCCCTCCGCGTCTGCTCGAGCTCCTCCGCCAATTTCGCCGCATCCACCTGGCCGTACATACATGCAAACACACATAAACTAACTAATTTCCCACCACCTCTGACCACTACCACGTGAGGGCACGTCTTCATACATACTCAATTTGCACACATACAGACATACAGACACACCGTCCTGTGTTCTCCCAGGCCCTTCTGTGACCCACTTGCGCTCTGACATGCTGTGAGCGTTACTCTGGGGTGCCATCAACATGAGCCTCACACCGGGGTCCTAACCGTCTTTCGTTGCTCCCCCCCCTTCCCCTCCCCATCCCCCTTGGCATCACCTTCACTCACTCGTGGTTCGTCTTCCCCCTCCCCCTCCTCGTAACCTCCAACTTCCAACTGACAGCCGGTTGGCACTAACCTTTCCCCCCTCCCCCCCTCCCGGAGACTTTCCCACCTCCCCACGTGCACCCCCTAAACTCCACAACCGACACTCACCCCATCCACACCCGGCGGTGCCGTACCGCCCTCTGCAGCAGGGTCGCCCCCACCCGTGAACTTGCTGAGCATATTCCGCAGCCGCTGAATCTCACGCTCCTTCAGCGCCAGGACGGAGCCGACATCGCGCGACGTGTTGACGACGGGATTGTTGGCAATGGCGCGCGCGCGGTCCGCAAACCGCAACGTCGAGCAACTCTCCTCGAACGCGTCCATGGACGGCGACAGCGTCGCCAACACCGTCGTACGGCAATTGCCACCCAAGGAATCTTGCAGCAGGTGCGTCAACCGGGAGTCGCGGTACGGGACATGTGTACGGCGTTCCGTCAGCGCCGCCACGACGCTGCCCAGCGCCGACAACGACCCGTTGATTGCCGTCATCTCATTGACTCGCTCGTCGCCGTACAGCTCCGTTCCGCCGTCCCAGCCGCCGGCGGTGGCGGTGTTCCAGCGCTCACTTCCCGCCAAATCCACAAAATTAAGTTTTGAGCGGATGACGGTTCCGTCAGCTCCCCCGTTGGGCCACTGCTCGATCACAAGTTGAAGTATGGCATGACTCCGAGAAGAGGCCTGGTTCATCTCCGTGTGCCGTACGGCACGGTTTCGGTTGCCTGTGCGCAGTCATTGCGGCATTTTCACACAGCAACGAGCATGCGCGTGTGTGTATGTGCGGGTATGTGTCCGCGTGTGTGTTTCCCTCCCTCCCCCCCTTCCCCCCGCTGGGATTGTCAACCCCGCTTCATATCCACATCCACGTTTACAGACACATTGCATGACGTCACATTACGATGTATCTGGTCACTTGCCCTTCGCAATCAGTTGGTAAACGGACTTGTACGACTTGACCTTGACGCACAGCAGGTTGGGTACGAAGGTGTTGCCCTTGGCATCCTCCCGAACCTCCAACAGCGCGCGTCTCATATTCACATCAGCCGGGTCCCTGGGGGAGGGGGGAAGGGGGGAGGGGGAAAGGGGGGAGGGGTCGGGCACCCACATGTGGAGGTGGGGGGTAATGCACGTGGAGGTGTTTGTTGCCTGGTTGGGGACGGATTGGCTGTTTGTGGAGCGGGCGGCAGCTGGATCCTGGATCTGGTGCCGTGCGGCGCCTTCAGTCCCCCCCACCCTCCCACGCCGGCTGCCACCACAGCCGCCTCTAAACCCTCCTCTCCCTCCCCCCCGACCTATCAGTCATCCTTGGCATCAGGTTCACTCGTTCGTGGTTCGTCCCTCCCCGCCCCTCCCCTCCCCTCTCCCCCCCTCCCCTCTCCCCCCCTTCCCTCCCGGGTTTTTTCCGCGCTGGCAGACACACACACACACATGCACACATACATACATACACACATGCATACACACACCTTGCGGCGGGGTACCGCTTTTCCAAACCTTCCACATCACATACGACATCGCATCAGCCCTACTACCACACCTCCGCCCCCTCCGCATATCCCCCTCCCACAACCACCTGGCGTTCTGTGGCTTGTACGGCTGCAGCAAGTCGTGGAGGCGGTCGTTGTAAATTTCCATGTAGCTCACAATCACCTGGCGCGTGAGAGCGGCAGTGGGGGCAACACCACAAGAGCCACCATCGGGGTGGGTGGTGGTGGTGGGGGGATATTGCGGACAGGGGGTATTACAGAATGCGGGAGACACGGGCATATAAACGATATAAACGATGATACGGATTGCGTGTGCGTGTATGTATGTCTGTATGTGTGTAAGCGCCATTAAGAGGGCGCCAGCAACGAAACGCGGGAAGAGGGGAGTCAGGTCGTGGGAAAGGGTTAATGAGGTTCGTCGTTGGTTCGCCGCCTCCTGCTCCCCCTCCGCCTCCTGCTCCCCTTCCCCTCCCTATTGATCCCCCGGCCGGGTACAGCTGAGCGAATCTCCCCCCCTCCCTCTCCCCCGCTTTTTCCTCTCTCTTTTCCCCCCTTCTCTCTCCAGTGCACATGGACATACATACATAATACATACATGCATACATACGTACAGCGGCTCAGGTGGTCACGGAGGACTCAGCACAAAGGGGAACGTGGCAACCCAGCAGCTCGCTGATGGACGTACCTGGATTGCCGTACCCTCCGCGTCCTGCTTTCCCTTCGCCTCCCGGAATAGCTCTTTGACGGCCCGGGGTATCACACCCGGACCGCCTCCGCCGGGGCCCCCGGGCGCTGCAGCAGCCGCACCGCCCTCCGCGGTGGGGTCGTCGCCCATCATGGTGAAGGTCTTGCCCGTACCCGTCTGGCCACTGAGGGGGGGTCAAGAGGGCGGGAAGCGAACCATTGGCGCGGATGAGCCCGGGGGTGTGAGGAGCGGGAAAACACAGGAGAGGGGGGAAGCGGCGGGGGGAGGGGCCAGGGGTTGCGACACGTGCGGAGGAGGAGGGTGAATGCACATTTGTACGGCAGTTGTACGGCAGTTTGGCAGTGGTAGCTGGTGCACGTCAGGGTATCCAAGGCAGTTGGCCCCCATTGCGACCCGGGCGGTTGTGGATGTGGAGGGGTGGGGTGCGGCTGGAGAGGATCAGGGAGGAGGGGGGGGAGAGGGAGGATAACCGTGAGGCGGTTGCGGCGTGTGTGACGGAGTAGCGGCCTACTGCCAGGTAGCATGGGACATCCCCGTTCCCCGTTCCCGTCAGCAGCAACAGTCTTTCCTCCTGGCATCAGCTTCACTCGCTCGTGGTTCGTCTTTCCCCCTGTAACCCCCTCCCCCCCTCTCTCTCCCCTCTTCCTTCCCGTCTCTCTCTGGCCCCCTTCCCTCTGCTCTCCTCCTCTCCCGCATTTGTTTGCCCGATCTGCGAAAAAGAACCGTCGTTCACTGCAGGGTTCGAACCCCGGGCCGCGCGACACCACGTGACAGCGTCCGCCCATACTCCCAACGCCTTGGGGATGACTCGATGACTCACTAGGCAAAGATGGTGCTGTTGTAGCCGTCGAGCGCCAACGGCACGCAGTCGCGGACCTTCTCGTACACGTCCAGCTGTGCCGTGTCCTCACCAAACACGTGGTGATAGCGGCCGCTGAATTCCTGCGTGTCGTTGAAGACCTTGATGTCGTACGGCGGCCGTACCTCCACGCCGCTGTCGTACATGAGTTCGCGTGGCAGAGGCGGCCGTACACGCACCAGCACCTGCACGCCGGAGGCGGACTGTGCCTGCTGCTGCTGATGGTGTTGGTGGTGTTGGGCCGCTGCGCTGTGCTGATGCTGGTATTGCTGCTGTGCGAGCTGGGAGTACAAACCGTATTGGCCGTACTGTGCGCTGCCGCCGACTCCGCCGTTGCGCATGGGACTGCTGGCGCGCAGGGAGCTGCTGAAAAGGGGAGGCATTTTGAAAACCTTGCCTCTGGGCGGCCCTCGAGGAAGGTTGGGCAGATATTTGAAGATGCGCCAGATGCCGTTATCAGGGTCAGATGGTGTTGTGGCAGCGTGCGACGAAGGCGTCGTTGATGCCACCAACGGCGATCGCTGGCGTTGCCTCCGGTCCAAATGGCTGGCGAAGAACTGCCGCCCGTTTCAACAATCCGTTCCGGGCATCGTTCTTGATTTATATACCTAGCCGTCCCAGAGCCACATTGTATCCAATAGGCAGGTCTCTGGTGTTTACTCAAAGCTGTTAACGGATGAGCATTCGAGAAATGGCTCCTTAAGGAGTGAAGCAGTGCAGTGCAATTTGCATAAACATATGGTGATTTAGTATTGATATTGTAACAATAACTGGACGTCCTTGCTAAACCTGTCCTTTGCGTCTACCCTTCGAGGGTAATAGACTTCTACTCTGTGCAGCCATGTGGTGTGCTAACCAAATAAATCTAAAGTACTTTCCTGCTTAGTGACATGCGCTCGGTGATTGCACAGTGGAGGAAATCAAGGACAGCTTGTCGTACGTCCTGTGGAGGTTAAGGCTGACCAGTGCGTTTGATCGGCCCCAGCAGCATGGCATAAGATAAGGCAACATCGAAATGCAGCATGGCATGGCATAAGACAGCATCGAAATGGCCCTCTTCTATTGTTAATATCTATTGACTTCTTGAAGGGGCCCGGACAGAACCGTGGGGTTGCTGCCCGTCCCGCCGCAGTGTCAAAGAGAAGGGGTTGCGACAACTTGCTGGTTGCACAGTACCGCACGCTGTAACCATAACCATTTGACAAACTTTCATTTAAAACGTAATGTAATGGCGGGGAGGCATAGGCCTAATTGAACGACCTGGAGCCCCGCTTTTTCTTAACCTCCTGCAGAGGTCGCTGGTGCCGCTTTACAGCACTTGAGGATCCACCGGGATGCAAACTTTCCACCCTCCTGAATTCACGTCTCTGAAACATATTTTGTACGTTGATCGTAGTTATGTACGAACTGGCACGAGCACAGGTCTGGCTTAGGTGCCGTGCACCGTACAAAATGCACACTCACAGTAATCCAGAATCTTCAAGTGTAGTGGGCGAGACAAAAACAGGTAAGCCATGTGTGGCTATTGCTTCACACAAGAGCACCTTTAGTCGAGCCGGAGCGGAACATCTATCTCCTCCCAATTCCGTTGATCATTTGCGTCAGCCCCGGAGCTCTTGTGCATCCCGCGGAGTTGTCGTCACGACCTCCGCCGGCAGGTCCTAGTTCGCGTTGCATTCGAGCGGTGTCGGAAACTGCGGACCGTAACCCCTATTATTGGTTGTGGGCGGACATGTGCCTTCCCTGGACCACCGGCCGGTTTCGAACTCTACACCTTCTGCGGACAAGGAAGTCCCGAATCACTTTCACGTTTTATTTACCCAGGTCGTTGCTTGGCTCGGCTTAACGAGTGCAGCTCCAAGCTGCCTCCAACCGGTTTCATTCGGTCTGCAGTCCATTTTGTTAAACCAGCCAATTAATGGCGTTATTGTGGCGGTGTGTGGGTATTCAGTCCAGGGTTCCCCGGGCATGTAAGTCAGGACCGGATTACGGACCATCAGGGATTGCCGTGCTTGCCCCGCACCCCAGCCAGCCAGCCAGCCAGCCAGCTATAACTAGCGAACGAAAGCTTTGCTTGCCGCTGCTGGCGAGCTGTTTATACCTCCGTGTTATCGGCTGGTTAAGATGCTTTTTAAGCCCTTGTTATGCAAGGCGGCCAGGCAACGGCCTGCCTAGCTACCTGATCAGCAGCATGTGTCGCTTGTTGAGTGAGCTCAACTATCGCACGTAACTCACTCCAGGACAGAGGCCTTCTTTAGTCGCATTGCACCAGTATCTGCGGACTTGAGGAGCTACAGGGCGGCTCGGAGGTCTAACTATGGATCGACCCGAGAGTTGTGAATTGTTGATGAATTTGCCGGCCTCTTGCATTCCCATGAGAGCCGCCGTATCCGTGTTGATTTGTGTGGCAGAAAAACTTCGTCGCACAAATCAAGCAGGCCCCCAAAGCCACCGACGAAGGCGTAGGGTCTGTGTCAAAGGAATGGAGTGGAGCCTAACCGACTTACGACACCTTCAATGGCCTACCTTGCAATCCTCCTCGCAATCCCCCGCGGCCATCGACTCTAGCCCATATGGCAACTACCCCCCAGGAATTCCCAAAGCTGTCGCTATAGTATGCATGGTACTTTAGTTTTTTCACATAAAGCACATAGAAAATGGAACCTGGCATCAAGGGTAAAGGGGCCGTCCGTTCGCCATAATTTGCCGACCCATGGGCCCATACGAAAGCTTTCTTAGGCGTCCGGAGAGCCAATCCTCAACAGTACGTATCATCCTAGCCCCACTATGTATTTCCAGCTCAACTTGCCGAAGGGACGAGGTGCGAGAGTTTGCCGTAAAAAAGGAAGCTTCTCATATCAGAAGCTACCACTGCGGTCCGTTTAACGAATAGCGGGACCTGCTTCTTGCCGGACGGTGAACCGCACGTTAAACCAGACGCTGGATCGTGCCCAGGATGTGCTCCAATGTGCTTGGACTTGTATGATGTAACACCCCTTCACCGCTGCCAGACCACCCTGTTTCACTCTTAGACATATTCCCAGGTTCTGATAATGACATGTCATCAGAATCAAACCAAATGCCACGTTGATCCATGATTTATGTCTAACAGGTGGGGTCCCCCTAGTCGCAATTGTTCCAGCAATTACGAGGCAAATCTGAGAAATAGAAACATAGCTGTTATGCATTACAGAGACCAAGAAACTACCTTGTATGCGCACCAACCGCTGGCACCGTAAATTAGGATTAAATCCTTTGGAAAGGTTTCATGTTACAGATAAGGCCGAACGCAGGAAACTCGCATGCGATAAAACTTGGGTTAGCAAGGTGTTTCCTACCAGGGAAACCGTACATTTACGAAAAGCGTTTGCTACTTCATAACAACCGTAAGAGGATCATGATGGCTTAGCTACATTGTATCTTGCGCTACAGCATTTCAGCATCATTCGGTGCTGATTTATGCATAAGTAGTTACGCTTGACCACCGGCACGAGCGGCCGGCTGCCTTGCAGGTTTTGCGCGATGCAGAGAATAAAAGTTGTCGTCGCGCATAGGCCTCCGTTTGTTTTCGTGGCCAATACGTCCACAGGGCAGCTCTTTTCGGGCCTTCTGATTGACCTGCTTAATAGAATCTTGATTACGGGCAATGGATCTTTTCAGTATGACATGTATGTGTCTGAAATAAATGCCGGCGGAACAAAGAGCAACGGAACGTGGAATGGTATGCTTGCAAGCCGCATTAACGGTGACTTGCTTCCAAGACGTCTGAAGGTCTTTAGGACTCCCTTCTCTTCCTGTTTTGGGTTGACACACAGGTGTCGTCGGCGAGCTCGTGGCCAAGCGTGCAGACGTCGCTCTGTTTCCCTTGACTCGGACTGCTTCCCGCCTCGAAGCCATCGACTGCACTTACTCCTACTACGACGCAGGTCTCGCGTTGCTTGTGGGGTAGGTATAAACTCGTGCTATGAGTAGCAACAATATCAACCTGCAAGCGTAAGCGCCGGCTCCTTCGCTGCATGCCCTGACACGTCACCTCGCAGCCAGCACAAAACCCGACCCTAAGCAGAATGCGATTGTTACAGTGGACTCTGAACGGATCGAGACCCCTAAGCAGCCTAAAACCTGGACCTAGCAGCTCATGTAAGGTCGACCGTGTGCTGCAGATGTATGTCCGAGACAGCAGATCGGTTTGCTGGTAGCTTCACCGCCATCGGCCCCGAGGGGTGTTCTTGGGGGGAAGATATTTTCTCACCCTTCCCGTCCTGTCCCGTGTCCCGTCTTTCGCAAAACTCGATAACAAGCACAACTCAATAACAAGCTCCACATCGCTAGCACCGTGAACCAGCAACTGTATCGTCCATGACCCAACTGTACTGAAACTCTGAAGCTCTGTGCGATCACTACTGCCTGCTGCTGCTGCTGCCGATGCCGCTGCTGCTGCTGACGCCACTATAAAAACTGACTGACTGCAATGATGACGTCATGGCCGGCATTAGGCACCCTCGACGGTCCGATGGTCGCGGTGGCCCTAAGACCACCGGGCTTATAACCCATCCCCCAGAACGATGCCACCTGTCCTGCCCTCCGAACAAGCTCCCCCCTCTGTTATGGCCCCCACGGCCCCCCATCTCGCTGCATTGCCCACTGGCCACTGCAGGGATGGTCAGACCGCCCCCGGCCCGCTGTCCGTCGTGGCGCCCTTTGAAGTAACGTTGTGGATCACACTGCTGTTCACTATCATTGGCGTTGCGCTGCTATTCTGGGGCCTGGATGCGTACGGCAAGTGGATCCGGAACAAACAGTTTAATGCGCTGCATGCTTCGGGGGTGATGTCAGCTGAGCAGGTGGCACATGCGAAACATGGTGAGGCCGGGCGGTGGGGGTGTATGTAAGTACTAATGACTGAGCCCGGTGTGTGTACATGTGTGTGTGTATACGTGTGTGTACGTGTGTGTGTACGTGTGTGTATGTGTGTGAAGGTTACAAGTATCTGACCGGGCCTGACACTGGCCTGGGGTTGCTGTCCAGCCCCAACGGAAAGCCTAAGCTCATTCCCCCGGACGGGGAGGGGCCTCTGTCCCCTCCTAAGCAGCCGAGAGCCGCAGGTCCGCTAGCTCCGCTCTCCCTCTCCCGGGGGAGGGGGAAGGTGTCGCACGCGCGCACGCTCTCACGAGCCGTCACGCGAGTTTCGTGCACATAGCCTGGCACACGCAACACGACTCCCCTCTCCGTCCCCGGCCTGATCCGGCTCTCGGGGTGGGGGGGGGGGTTCACTAAGAAAGAGGAAATCCGGAAACCCCACACAGACCCTACCTATCCTTACTACGGTAGGAGGCCATGCTGCAAAGCTAGGTTTTCCGTCGGGGGAGCAGGTGGGGCTCAAGAAACCCGTGCTAACCACCTCTCGAGCGCATACGGTGGGGGAGGTCATGGACTCGGCTAGCAGCTACCGACCAGCTCACCGACGGGGTCAGGGATACCTCGAGGCAACAGTACCACACCGGCACAACTACACACACAGCGTCACCCGGTCTGCCTGTCAGCCACCCCCTTCACCTGCGACCCCTCCCAAGCCCCCTACAGCAGCGACCTCTCAAAACCCTCCCAATGCCGCGGCCTTGGCTCAACCTGTGGTGAGGCGAGCTCCCTCCCCCTTGAAAAGCCCTCCACCCAGACCAAAAAAGGAGAAACCCTCCGGGGCCTATCCCCTCCCCCACCAGCGGGATAGCCCATCTACCGGGGTCCTCCCAGCACTCCTCCTATTCCCCCTCCCCTTCCTCTTCCAGCCCATCCTCTTGTATGCAACACAGGCGCTCGTCCACCACCGACGAGATGGGGTGGCCGGGACCCGCGCTGCTCCAGCCGCGCCGTGGCTCACGCTGAGCTCTGCAAAGCCCTGAACCTACTGCCAGAAGTCGAGCACTGTGCAGGCTCTCATGGCCTCCAGCGGGGCTGCTGGGGCTGCCCGCAGTCCCGCCCGTGCACGTTCCATGGCTGACAGCACCTTGTGACTGATCACATCCCCCACACACAGTGCTGCTGCACCCCTGCCGGTGCTTCCGTGAGCTGCATATTCGCCCCCGGGATATGGGTCTGGGCACGCAGGCTGCGATCTGCCCTACCACCGCTACTGGGCACTCCCAGAAGCGGTATGCGTGTGGGAAGCACTGCGGCACTTGCCGCTGTCCTGCCACTCCTCCGAATCCTCCGCAGCCACACGGCTCCACTGGGGGCCCGTGTAGATGCCCCGTGTTGCCGGGCAGGGTCACACTGTTGACAGCCAGGCGCCAGAGAGTCTCCTTGCGCTGCACTACCACTACCACTTTACCGCCCACAGCCGTTGCAGTGTTCCCGGCATGCGGCAATCCCGCTGTGCGTCGGCTGCTGCCATTTTTAGTGACATGAGGGATGTAGGTTATGTGTGTATGTGGGTGTTACAGAGTGGGTGGCTTTTGGGCCGTTTGTAAACATTTGGATACTGGCCTAGGATTGGACAGCATAGAGCATACCATTACCGCATTGTACTACGCCATACGAACTGAAAGTCCAAAGCTATTTAGAATTCCTCCTCATCCAGTCACCCGAACATCCGTAGAGACAGAGGGTCCCTAGCGATCGCCACCAGTCTAGCTTGTTGTTGAATCCACCATGTGTGTCCCCGTTCGAAGTCACCTCCGCATCTCATCCACTAGCCAGAAGCTTAAGCTCCCGAGAAATGTCGGGGGGCTAGCCAGGAATTGAACCGAGGACCTTGACTGGCTACATCACCAAACCAGACCAGATCATGCTTGTATAAAAGATCTGAGCGACACATACATCAGTAAATGATTTGCTGTGGCTCCTCCCCCTCCTCCCCCTCCTCCTCTACCTCCACTTCCTCCCCCACCTGGAGGTTCTGATGGCCATGGTACCTCAACCCTTCCGTCATTCCTCACCCACCAACCTCAGAGGACTACAATCCCGTGATGATGAGCTTCATGGCGGCTGCGGGTGCCCCAGAGCGACCCGGCCGCAATAGCTGGGGCGTACAGGTGCTGTACGTGGTGTATTGCTTCTTTTGCATGATCATACTGTCATCCTACACCGCCAACCTGACGTCGTACTTGGCTGTACGGCGGGCCTACGTGGGAATTTCGGGGCTGCAGGTAAATCTGCCATCTGCCATCCAGAGGGCGTATTGAAGGGAAGACCTGGAAAAGTTGGGACAAAGAAATGTCTGAAGGGATTTGACGACAGTGCCGCAGCTTTGTTTAGGCGCTTGTTTTGGGGATCGCTCAGGGGACTGGAAGCCATTGCTCCGCCTTGCGGGGCTAACGGGCTCCCTCCCTATGGCCCTCCACCACAAACCCACCTGCGCGCTTCTAATCCCCCGCTGTCCTCACCATCGCCATCACCCAGCCTGCTGGTTCGCTAGTACTAATAGGCCTTATGTTCTAACCGGTTGTTGTGTCTAAAAAACTCTCTTTTCGTACCCTCGCTTTTCAGCGGTCTGCATTCCCCCGTGTTGCCTGCATACATGCACACATGCTTCTGTCTCTCTTCCCCTTGTCGCCCGTGTTCGCAATGCCCGTGTCCGTCCTCCTGCCCCAGGACCTGGTCAAGGATAACGCACTGGTGGGCGTCAACCCCAGCGGCTCCACTGCTGCCTACTTCACCGCCAGCAAGGACTCCCTGGCCACACAGCTCCAGCCCAACGTGCGGTACTGCGACACAGCCACCTGCGTGGCTTGGGTGCGACAGGGAGTAGTGCGGGCCTTCGTAACCGATCAGCCGGTGTTGCTCTACCTATCGCAGCGGCAGCCTTGCGACATGGCGGTGGCGGGCGAACCTTTTGGACCAGGTGCCTGGGGTAGGGGTAAGGGGGGCACCAGGAGGGCCATCGGTGCGGATTTTGTGGTGGGCGGCGACATGGGATTTAGATAAATTTCAATTAGGGACCAGGGACTGGTCATCATTCGGTGAACGGCTATGACTGGAGAACCGCTGTACGCCGTGCACCTGCCTTGCACGGTCATCTGATCGTCCTGTTCCGGTTTGTTGCCGGCTGCTCTCACCTAGTCATGCCAGTAGTTTGCCCTGGCATGTCTGCACTGTAACGCTGGTGACACCGTTGGAACATGCCCCGCATATCCGCAACGATGTAACCCCGTGCGCACTCCCCCTGTGCCACAATGCTATCCCCCACCCACGCACTTGCATGGCTTGGCAGGTAACCGGGTGACCTGACCGGGTGATGAGAACGTTGGGTTGGGGATGATCTCCTTGTGCTGCTGATGCGCCCCACGGCTCCACACGCACCCTTGCAACCCCCCAACTGCACACTCAATACCCCCATGTTCGTAATACCTCCTTCACGCCTCCATCACTTACCCCCTCGCAGGTAACTTGGTGATTGGGCTGCAAAAGAACTCCTCTCTGCTGCCGTTTTTTAACTCAGCTCTGCAGGTAGGTAGATGTAAGGGGCCTTGTTCGGGGGCAAATGAAAAGGAGGATACATATGAAGACGAGGCAACCTATCCGTGCACTGCCCAGCTACCGCTACTTTGCTTCCCCCCCCGCCGGTGTGTCTGTGTGATGGTGTCTACCATGATGGGTCTGTATCTACATATGCCCTCTAGAGGGTGGATCTACCCCGTCTGTCCTGTATCATGAATACACCCACTGCGTGTCTTGTTGTTGTCAGTGCTGCTCCTCCATCCTCCCTGCGTGGCGCCTCCGTCCGCGCCCCTCCTCTGTAACCCCCTGCATTCATCCTCACCCTATCATCACACGTCATTGTAGTTAGTCGTGGTGCGCTGTACAGCCACATGTGGCAACGCGCAGCACCCGCCCGCAATTTCCCGCCTCACCTGCTTGTCCCGCTACTGAACCTAGTCGCCAACTGATGGTGTCTCTATCCCCGGGGTCTCTCCGTTTGTATTACTGTTTGTTCTCCTGCGTGGTCCTGAGTGGCAGCCGCACCGTCTCACCCACACCCAACCGCCACATATATCTGTCCTCCTCCTTCCGTCGCTGCTGCTGCTGCTGCTGCCCCACCGTTCCCTGTTGATATGGCGACAAAAGACGTTCTCGGAGGACGGCACACTGAGTTTGCTGCGACGCATCTGGTTTGATGGACTGAGCCAGTGCGATGGCAGCGATGCTGAGCTGGACAGCAGCCGTCTCACCATCAGCCAGATGTTGGGAGCCTTTGTGTTTTTGGCTATTGGTATCCTCATTGCCTTTACCACCGGCACTGTGGAGAACCTGAAATGGTGCGTGTGAAGGACAGGTTGGGGGTTGTGGACGGCCATGTACGCCACCATGCGCTCCGCGCTGATGTGGGCGCTATGTCTTATTGGGGTGTGCGGTGTAGAGCCGGTGCCGCCAGCCAGCTGGTGCTGGTGGAGTCCGTGTGCTTTGCTTGCCGTGAGGATAAGCGGCTCCTAGAAAGGCGAGCACACGGGCTGCAATCTGGCATGGTGGTACCGTATGACATATAGGGTTTCGCATTTGGTTATCGGGCCTCTACACAAGTCCTGGCCTAGGCTTGCCTGGAAGTGTACTTAGGACTCGCAGGAAGGACTCGCAACATGTCAGCGCTGCAGGACTGCAGCAGACACCGCAGATCCAAACTGCATTCTTGACTTAGGACAGATTCAAAACAGGCATCGAGTAGACTTCCTGAAGATCACTAATGATTTCTGTGGCTAAGGTTGTGCCGTCATAACTTGCCCTACCCTACCGGCAAGGCCCTTCCTGAACCCAACCGAATACACCCCTCCACTCCACTCCACTCCACGTAGGTGTCTTGCACGGGCCTACGCCAAGTCCTACTCAGAGCAAAGTGTGCGGGTAGGTTTGGTGGGGGGCTGCGGGATCTGTGCGCCGTTCAGATGATATGCAAAACAGGTGGATGGTGTGCTGTATGGTGTGATAAATCGTAGAAATGACAAGATGTGTTCAGGTGGCCCAGAAGCCTCCCACTCTGTAACAATTCAATTCAAAGATGATATGCGCACACAGATAGGAGCCATGAGACGCAGATGTAGAGGGGAGTGTTCCCTGGGCTTCCAGGAGCAGCTTCCCTACCGAGGTTGTGGTTGGTTCTGTCTCTTTGTCCCGTGCAGCCATTGCGTGCCCGTATGAAGGCCCTGATCCGTATTAGGCCCCTGGCCCAACCTGTGTGCATCCGGTGGTCATCGCCTTCCTCATGCCCTCCATGTCCATTCCCCGCTGCTTGCTCGAGACCTCCCGTTCCTTTTGGACCTCAGCCGCTTCTGTTGCCATGGAGCCCTTCGACCCCTGTTTGATATAGCAGACTTATATAATTTCAAGCTACACAACCAGCAGCTCCTTCCCCCTGTGTCCCTCTTGACAGTACACCTATCCTCACTACTCCTGTTCCTCCACATTCCAACTTACTACTATTATTTTCATAAATTTGAAATGTGGTATGTTGTCACACACCACCTACCTGTCTTTCTCAGGCGGCGCAGAACCTCTCCTCGAATGGCCAGCTTACTCGCAGCTCCACCTTCCTCCGGCAAGCCGAGCGCCTGCGGACCTCTACCTGGCACCGTCTCTCCATTGCGGTGCTGGGCATCAGCAAGCCGGCGCAGCCAATGCCTGAGCCGTCCATGGAAGGCCGCCCCTCGAACACAGGACCGCATCAAGGCCGTACAGAAGCGTCTGCATTGATGGCCTCGATAGTAAAGCGGAGGCGTGTGGAAGCGTCTAATGGTGGTGGCCAGGGTGATCATGCTGTTAGCATTACCACAAATACCGTCACCGGTGTCACTGCGGATGGCACACAGCCCCGTGATCTTGTACTCCTCGTAGACTATGGCGGCGTGGTCGCTACTGCAGGCAACGGTGACGTCAATGAGTGCCGTGGCGTGGGAGATGACGGTGTGCGTGCGGCTGTTGCAGCCGGCAAAGAGTCGCCCAATGAGGTGACGAACTGTGTTGCCGCGATGGAGGCACCCGCGCTGGAGCCGATGGTATCGTCTGTCTGCTCCCAGGCCTTTCCTCATGTCGATCAGCGGAGTGGGCGTGGCCGTGCACTGTCTGGACGGCTCTCCAGGTGCCAGAGCAGCGCTGGTCCCCCACCGCCACCGCCACCGCCGCAGCTTCTGCTGCTGCAAGGAGGAGCTCCATCAGCAGGAGGGCGCCTTTCACCCCGAGCATGGTCTCCAAGGGTTGCACCCGCTGGCTCTGACAGCGTCTACTACAGCTGTTATGGCACTGCCGGGCCAGCAGGTGTGGATGGCAGCGCATGTTGTGAGGGAGGAAAGGGGGATGGTGGCAGTGGTGTTGGCGGCCTGCAGCAGCAATAGCCCCAAAGCCACTAGCACCTCAGCCTCAGCCACTATATATTGGTGACGCAGCCGTCTTAGGCCGCCTCTGAATCCGCTGCTGGCATTGTTGTTGCCGCAGCGGCAGGGCGACGGCTGAGCGCTGACGGAGTTTAGTCTAGAGGACAGCAGCAACAGCACCAGCAGCAACGGCACCACTCATAACAGCAGCACGCAGTAGCAAGGCTATGAGGGGGTGCGGCCGCTGGAATGAGGAACAGCAGACGTTTTGTCAGTGTCTCCCACAGTAATGGCAGCAGCAGCAGCATTGGTAATGGCATCAGCAGCAGCATGGGCAGCTGCATCTCGGCCGCTGAGTGAGAAGGGTAATGATGATAGTAGCAGCAGTAGTGGTGCATCTGCCATCTGCAACAGCCTCGGAGGCGGAGCCCAGCAGGATCTGGTAGGTAGGTGATGATGAGGGGCACTACACGGTTTGTGTATTGCCGTGGGTAGGTCGGACGTCCACAGGCATCCATGTTCCTACTAGTACGAGCGAGCAGTGATAGCATGTTCCTGCTGCGACAAAGTAAGAAGAAGGTTTAAGGGAAGGTGGAATCACATCGCTTGCAATGAGGCGATGATGAGAAGCTCGTGGTCACACCGGTTGTTAATGATGTGGATGTCCAATCATGGCGATTGTTGTGACTGTTGTTGGTATTATATCGCCGGACGTTTAGTAGCGAGGTAGTGCTGGCAGCCGCTATAGTCACGTGTTTTAAAGCAGCGACAGCTATCGCCGCCAGGGTGGTGGTGACTGCACTGGTACTTGTGCGTTTTGCTGTGTGATGACTAGCAGCAGCAGCAGCAGCAGGCTTGATGTTGCAGTAATGCAAGGTTGAAACTGGAGAGGGGCGGAGATATATATATGCCTAGGAGGGAGGTATGGCTGAGGGAGCTAGTGTGTACGTCGTCGTTGCCTGATAAGGGATTGACTACTTGGTACATTGAGTTGGTTTCCTAAGGTCTATGGGTGAGCATGGCAAGTTATAGATGAGCATATAATATATACGCGACCTCAGGTTTGTTGAAGCAAGGATAGTCAGGCGTTTGGCAGTTGCACCGATTACGTAGTCGCTGCTGCTGAGAGCTCGCGCTGGCGATTACGTAGCTCTGTGATTTGGTTGACCTTCGTCTGCTGCGCTGTATGTGCTTGTGCGTTGTTTAACGATATTGTGTTGTATAATTTTGGTTCGCATCCGTCATGATGATTAAGGCAATCCTCTGAAATGCCTTGCCAGTTTTCTTACCTGTTACAGCATATTACAGCGGATGCGGTGGCCCTCGGTAGTAGCTGGCCGCTGAAAAGGCCTCTCGAGATGCTGGTGGACGCGCTTAGCGCGTATTTGTAGAGGTTACGTGTGCCGTACTGTGCCGTACCAGCTACTACACCGTCTACCTGGCGGAATGGGACCGCGAGCTTCTCTGCTGTAATCGTACTTTCGCAACCCCCGCAACGCCGGATGATGACGCTATCAACGTCATCTCGGACATCTCATTTGGTGCAGCTCAGGTTGGCTTGACTTGACTTGGCTTGACTTGACTTGACTTGACTTGACTTGACTTGGCTTTCCTGTTTCGTAGTTACGGTGTTATAAAACAATATTACTGAAGTGGTCGTGCTTTGCTTGTTGTTGAATGAATCTTGGCAGTGAAGCAAACGGGTAGTGGTTGCGGTGTGAGACAGTGTGCGAGCACCTGCATGATTTAGGTTATCCACAAATGTACTGTGGGTGCTCCAGCATGCATGCAACGGCGGCCGACGATGGGGTCGCTGTACTCGTGATGTGTGGTGCCGTACTTATTACCGTACATTTGTGGTGTGCACGCGATCTAGACCTCAAATGCGTTATTTACCGTAGCAGTTGGCGGACTTGTTTGCAACAAGTCCCTCTGACGGTATTGGCGGTTAATGTTGCATGTTGCACCCCATCACATTACGTGCACACTTCGGGATAGAAGATGATGATACATACAGAAAGATAGTTTTGGCTGGGGTGCTAATGGCTGATTGCCTCGAACCAGCCCTAAATGAATTCAGCACTCGAATGCTGTCGTCTTATTTTCCCGCATCTCTTGTTTTGTTATTTTTGCTGCTCGGAATGCCGCTGGTCCGACACCTTTGCTTTGCTTTGCTCTTCCTTTCGTCGATTAAGAACACTGTCCTTTTAGATAGATGCCACTGTCTCTGAAGTATGAGCAGTGAGGGCAGGATCGTCTTGCAATGAGCTTTTTTCTTTTTGTGATACCGCTTTCCTTTTTATTAACCTTGGGCGTTGCTGTGTCACCTCTGCATGCCCGCTATCCACGGCGGCCTGTCTTGCTGTGTATTATTATTATCATGCCGCGTGTGTTGTGGTTTCCTGTTGGATGGTTCGTTACCAGGGTAGTGGTGCTGTGGAAATAGCCTTGCGTGGTAATTGGGTTGTGAAGTACGAAGGATGCGGACACAAAAGTTCGATTTCCCGTAGCGTGTGACGTGTATGCACATTCGGAGGCTATCATGTCTACGGGCTCCGGGGCTGGTACCAGCCGGTACCAACGGTGGTACATTTATTACATTATCTCGGTGACCCTTGAATCGAAGGCGGATTCCTAAAGTCAACTTATTACAGGAAATAAGATACACACATGCCGGGGATATATCTTTATCAGAGCCCTGTATGTGGCTTATTACATAAACAGTGAATTCGATTGTTGGAATGGTTCGTGGGGGCTTTGCTTGTGCCCGACCCTTGAGCGCGTAACCTTCGATCGCCTGTGGTAACAAAAACATTTAATGCACAAGGAATTAGTGCGCAAGGATGGGGGTGCCCCGAAACGTCGAGTAAGGTAGGGACTGCCAGGCCGGTGGCCAGGGGTAAAGCTCTTCACCCTAGTAACCCCTGCTTCACGCAATCACGAGCAACATGTATTGATACGCAAGCATGACCATAAATATGCTCAGCTAGAGGTACGTGTACGGCTTAAGATGATAATAATCATTCTAGCTAGATGTACATGCCGTAATCCGGTGATAGATGCCTACACGCTTGCAGCAGACGGTTGGGTAGTGCAACCATACGCGCCGTACAACAGCGCCATCAACGAGCGACATGCATTCCTAACGGATGTATATATACATCGCAACAGAAATGCCAATTTGATAGATAATGATTAGTTGAGTACTTGCCTTATCACTTAGGGGTCGTCTGGACGGAGAGGCACCTGTAGGCAGGAAAGTGTGCTTGACTTCATCTGGCGAGCCTCCTGGTCACCGAAGCGAATTTGCTGCTGAACGCTGTAGATTAGGACAGAAGCCGCAGCGGAAACCTGTCAGTACTCTCTGACACTGTGAACTCGCACTCCTGTTACTTACACTAGCCCTGTGCGGTCCAGCCGTACGCACCAACGACATTCAACAGAGTACGATCTCGGCACTCAGATACTCAGAAAACCTTGGGTTTCTTTCGCTTTCACTCAGAAAACCTAAGGGTAATTACAGATGATTGATGATCTCGTGCGGTGCTTCCTCACCATGATATGGTGACGTTATCATGAATACAGTATACTGGGTCGCAAGTGCGTGTTGCTGCTCACCAAGTGCTACCTACCTGCGGGTCAGTCAGGTAGGGTTGCCTTGCATAACAGGGCTTAAGGCGAACTTGTGGCCCCTTGTGGCCAGCTTAAGGCCAGCGTCGATTGCATAAGGTATGCATGGCTCGTTGGCTGCTGGCTGCTAGGTGTAGGGTGAGCCTAGATTCCGCTCGAGAGGCTCACAGGAGACACGGCGCCACAGCTAACGGCGGACAGGCCGGCGGCACAGCGGGTTTCTCGGCAAGCAAAGCTTTCGTTCGCTAGTTATAGCTGGCTGGCTGGCTGGGCTGCTGCTGCAAGCACGGCAATCTGTGATGGTTCATAATCCGGTCCTGACTTACATGCCCGGCGAACCCTGGACTGAATACCCACACACCGCCACAATAACGCCATTAATCGGCTGGTTTAACAAAATGGACTGCAGACCGAATGAAACCGGTTGGAGGCAGGCTCCACAGCGCAATTCGAATACCTCCGGCGAGCCTGCCAGAACATTTCAAGACCCCGACAGACCGATTTTTTGTCAGGAATAAAATCCAGGCTAATTCTGCGACAGAGCTCTTCCCCAATTCCAGCCCGGATCCTACCCTATAGGCCAGACCATCAATTCACGTAATCGGCCTGTGGCCTGTGGCCGATAAAGGGGTACCCTTACTACATGCTGCGCATGCAAAGGACGTTGGTCAGAAAGCCGTAGGCTGTACTTGTGGTTTGCATGTTGATTAAGTGCTCGTCCTGTAGTGCGGTACGGCAAGTGCGGTGCAGGAATTCGCAGCCCAGAGCTGGGCAGAGGACAGGGACGGATACCCTAGTTCGTTACAAAGGTTAGCTGGGAACAAGGCGCTAACTTCAGACAACGCAAGATCGCCCGATAACTGTGCAAGCAAGCACAAGTCAGAACCCCGCCCACCCGCCCGTCGATGTGGTGGAGAGGGGAGGGGGACGAGCCACGAAGTGAGCGCCAGGGCTAAGAGGAGCGGCACCAGCAGGAGGCGGAGGCTAGGATTGGGGACCGGAGCCGCGAGGGACACGAGTGGGCCGAGAGGTGTCGGTGTAGCGCTCCAGGACTTGGGGGCTGCGGATCTGGGAGAAGGTGTGGAGCTCCTCGCGGGAGGCGCCAGCAGCCTGCGTCGCCTGGATAGCACCACGACGAAACCCATGAGGGGTTTGCCTGACGTAAACACCAGCCTCCTCCAGGTGTTTGCCCACTCGCATGGCCAAAGCGCTGCTGGAAAACGGGCGCTCCACGAAGCGTTGGTGACCCCAGTCAGTGGGACGGAAGAGGTAGTCGGAGATGGCGGACCCTGGGGGAGCATCGGGGGCATGGCACAGCTGCCAATAGAGGGCGAGGGTGCGGATGAAGCAATGTCGTGGAGAAGGGTCGGGGCGCAGTTCCAAAGGGGGAGCTCGGCGCCCTTTGGATGTTTTGGTCCCAAGTTGCTCAATCCGTAAGGAGAGGGAGGGGTAGGCACCGAACGTGTCCGATAGAGGCAAGGGAAACCCGCGGAAGGGACCACCACCCCGCGGGTCACGGAAGTCACGTAGCCGCAGTTTGCCTGTGTCATGGCCGCGGTAGCTGGTGTGCCACATAAATTGGCAGCACAACATATCGCGTAGCAACAGCAGGCAGGCTAGGGAGGTGGTGGAAGCCTGGAATCCGGACCAGAGGTGATCCATGAGGGTGGTAAAATCGCGAGGGCTAAGGGGCACGGCGGCTTGCTCCTCGTAGCCACGGTCGGCGGCGAGGCGACTATAGCCAGTCTTGTAGGAGGACAAGGCGCTGGAGCAGCAGGGGTTGCCCATGCCGGTTCCACGGTCATAAGTGCTGCCACGGCCCAAGCGGTTAAACAGTCCGGAGAGCAGACCCAGATGATTGTTGACAGTGTTGGGACCCGGATCATCCACCCGACGGTTGGGAAGCCAGTGGGCCTCCAAGTAGACGAGCAGGTCGTCATCAGTGCAGGACAGCAGGGTACAGCCATGGGGCAGGGTGGCCAGCCATGCAGAGAGGTCACGACCGGCAGCCTCCTGACGGGCAATGGTTTCGCGAGCCAACGAGTTGTCGCAGACGGTGGCAGCCTTCGCGAGGGCGACGGTATAGATCTGGCGGCTGGAAGGTGGATCCAGTACAGCAGAGGGTACGGAAGTGGGGTGGACGTGCGCAGCCAAGATCTGGGGCAGAGTAGGCTCCGGCAGTGCCTGGATGGCAGAAAAAGATAGGTGAGGTAGGCGTGATGGGGAGAGGAGACAGGACCCAGGCGCGGGGGCAAGCCTACCGGGTGGGCAGCATCAGAGAGGCCGGGAGCTTGAGACAAGTCCAGAGTGGGGATCGGGCCCACGGAGGGGGCGAGGGGGTAGGGCCCCCGAGGGACAGGAAAGGACGGAAGTAAGGAAGATGCCGAGCCAAGGAGACGCGCCCCAGGTAGGGCCGGGGGAGGCAAGGAAAGCCTACCCGGCACCGGACAGGCAAGGTGTGGGTCCTGCAGTCAGGTAGGCAACCGTAAGAGAGGGCCGGGGGAAGCAATGCGCAGGGAGATGGGGACGTGCACCGGGTAGGCAGAGGACCCGGTCGAATGAGGAGGAGTCACATAGAGGAGGCGTAACAGCGGCGAAGGAGAACGCCGCTTCTGTGAAGAAGCAGAGGCGGGGTGGAGGTGAATGGGAATGGTAGCGGCAAGCGCAGTTACCTGAGGGACGAGCCGAACTAGAGGCAATGCGGCGGAGACCTGTTAACGAGGTAGGAAATATGAGTGGTAGGTAGAAGGCGGTCGGCGTGAGGCTGGAGGCTTACGTTTTCTGTTGGCGATGACTGCATTAGGTTATTTCGTACTCTCTACTCGATTGCCGTGCGAGCGGCCCACCCGCCCTCCCACTAACAGCCAAATGGCTGGTCGGAGTTATCTTTGAAGGGTTTGGGTACCGCGGGAGTGTGGTCGCAGACGCAAAAAAAAA